ACACTTGTTAAACTTTTACAAGTACTTCTTTTTAGTCTGTTTCCTGTTAGGTTCACAATGAACGTCCTATTCCTAGTTTTGTTGGTGGTCGGTGCCTCTGCATCTGGAGCAAGAGCTGATGATTGTTATTGTTGTTGTTGTTGTTGTTCTTCTTCTTCTTCTTCTTCTTCTTCTTCTTCTTCTTCTTCTTCTTCTTCTTCTTCTTCTTCTTCTTCTTCTTCTTCTTCTTCTTCTTCTTCTTCTTTTTCTTCTTCTGTAATAGTCTTTGAAGATGATGTTGATGATTATTATTGTTACTGTTGACGAGCTGGTGGAAAAGCGACACCAAAGCAGATCTGACAGCCCTTATTTTCATATCATTCCTTCTCTTTCATTACCTGCCTGACCTTTCCCACTACTATGTCATTTTTATTGAGTCCATGTGCTGCTTGTTTATATTATATCATACAAATAAACAAGAAAAAATCCTCTACTTTATCTTCGATCTCAATGACAGACAGTCAATCCACTGGTGCGCACAGCTTGTACTGTTCTCTTTAGATTCCCGAAGCTGCCATACACTTTTTTCAGTTTGGTAAGAATTTTGCGGCGCTTGCAAGTGAATATTATGGTCATATGAGCGTGAGCCACACACAGTTCTCACTCCAATGGTTTAGCATAATAATATTATTATGTACATACCTGTCGGCGAAAAATGTTTGACGACCAGATGAAGCTCTTGTTGTGGCGATTAATGCCCCCCCCCCCCAAACACACACACACACACACACACACACACACACACACACACACACACACACACACACACACCCACACACACACACACACACACACACACACACACACACACACACGTATGTATTGTATCAATAGTCGTGAAAATGGAAAGTAGCAAAAAGCCATGAGAAGACAGAATTACCCCTGAGCTGCTTAAAACGATAGGAAAAGGAATTAATGAGATATTACTTTTGTTATTTAATGAAATTCTTGAAGAAAAAAAAATGTGTCGATGGAATGGGGAGAGGGAAATATAATAAAACTACCTAAAAAGGGAGACTTAAAAGACTGTAGCAACAGGAGAGGAATAACGCTTTTATCAGTGTCTGGAAAATTCTTTTGCGCTGGTACTTTGTCTTGTATCAGAACAGCAATGGATGAGAGACTAATAGAGTAACATAACATACGGGTTTTCGACTGGACAGATCATGTATAGACCAACTGTTTGTTCTGAGAAATATTGTAGAACAAAGCAAAGAATGAAATGTCCCAAATATTTTGAACTTTGTTGACTTTAAACAAGCCTTTGACAGAACAGACCGAAAAGCCATGTGGAAAATAATTCCCTTTCAATTTATGGTATCCCAACGAAAATAATAAACTGTATAAGATCATTATACCAAAGAAAGCTGCCGTGTCTTAGTTGCAGGACAACTATCTACACAATTGAAAGTGTACACTGGAATTAGACAAAGCTGTATATTATCACCTGCACTGTTTGGAATTATGATAGATTTTGTAATGTGACAGAGCAAAGAAGTTGAAACAAGCATTGGATGAACAAATGGCACATATTTAGTAGATTTTGATTTTGTGATTGACATCTGCCTATTAAATAATACAGCAAATGAAATATAGTAAGAGAAAATCAAACAAACAAACGAAGAGGCAAGATCTTGTTTTGTTTTTGTAAAGTGTTTTACGGCGCTCGCAACTGCATAGGTCATATGAGCGCGCGGGACACACCTAATATTTTCAGTTGGTAGGAAATTTGGAATTTTGCCCGGGTGGCGGCCGAAGCCTACTCTTATCGATTTTAGACCACCAAGGGATCTTTAACGTGCGCAACTTGCACACGGGCCCTCCGAGATTTTTCGCCCTTGTCCGAGAAGGCTAGGTGTAGATCTTTCCTACCAGAAGATCAGGGGTGTGGCAGAAAGACAGCAGTAAGGAGGAGCCAAGGAGTAGCAGTAGAAAGGCTGCAGAAAGAGTCAGGAGCCCAGAGGAGGGGCAAAGGAGGTGAGGGGG